ACATAAATAAATTTGCAAAAGAGAGTTTATAGAAGTTTAGAATGAAAAGTTTTCCTCAACCAAACAGCCCCTAAATGTTCTCAGCAGCACCCAAAAAAAGGCATGAGTTGAAACTTAAAATTCCACATTCAATTCCACATTTCTACTTAAGCCAAAAGACCGAAAAATGAATTCTTAACATCAATAGATAAATTTTTCGTTGACATAAAATAATCACTAATCAGTTAATTCCTATGAAACTCTGTAATCTATTGGCCGTTGTCCCCTAAATCTCATTTGATAAGAGATTATTCCCTTTTCCATTTTCTCCACAAGAAACCAGTTTGGTGAAATATTTGTGTGTTGGAAGTTACGAATAGCTAAAAGACATAGAATAAGTTAAAACGAAATTTTCAATTATTGATTTCTTTGTTGTTGCTTTGCTTCATATGCACTTTTCGTCCTTTGCAAACCAGACGATAAAATGGTTCTGCTGTTCTCCAATTTTGTCTTCTGTCCAATTCTCTGTTTGATGTGTTAATTACCCTTTAAATTTAACATTGGAGAGGGTGTATAAGTGTGAGATGTGAGAATCTTTTGAACTTTTGTTTTGAGTGGTGAGAGAAATAAAGAAATTATCCGAGAATCTTTCGAGGGTTAATGGAGAATTTGGGAAAAATCTGAAAGGCAAGATGCGAGAGTTTTATAGGAGAGTAGTACCAAATTAATAGACGTAACTTTTCTCATAATTAATGAATTTATTTTTATTTTTTTGTGGTTTTTTCTAATGTAGAGAGAGTTTTCCGCATTAAAATTAGTATTCATCTTCTTTGTTAATTTTGCTTTATTATTTATTTCACTTGTATGTTTTTTATGATGAATTTTTTTTATTAGAATTAAGAGAAAAATCATTAATAAATATAGATATAATTCATCTAAAGGAGATGGCTGTGATCTATTATATATGAATTGTTATTATCATCTATATAGAGGTTAATTTATCAATAATTTAAGTAGTTTGACAGTAATATTTTTTTTCATAAAAGTAAAAAAATTTTAATATCGAGTCATATAACATATTAATAAGATAAGTTAAAAAAATAAAAAGAGTAAACTTTTATTATACAATTTAAAATAAAATATAAAATAAATGGTCCCATCATAACATCTTCAAAGATCTTATATGATCATTTTATCATTGAAAAAAAAAAGGCCTTCTTGGCAAAAGTAGACATCAATATATCTCATAACTACGGCCCCAAAGACTTTTTATAGAAAGGTTAACTTGAGACAGTCTAACTTAATGGCAGGAACTAAGATCAAAAGCTAACAATAAAATGAAAGGGACACCTTCCGGCAATGGAATTCAAGAACCAAATGGTGGCTGCACATTGAAACTAGAAAGTCCCACAAAATTTTGTTGGTTAGAATTGGTAGCCATACACTGTTTGCTTCTCTAGTTTACAAATGGAAATTTCTTAAACGAAAGTGTCACCAATCCCACATGGAATACCAGCAGGAAAAAAGACCAAGTACAATTTATAATACCAAATTATGCCGAAATTATATTCTGTTTTCATTACCCAATCAACAAAAACAATGACCCTTTCCATTCTCTTTCAAAGAAAAAGCTCTAAGTTTCCCTTTGAATGCATCATCAAGGCATACAAATTATTCCCTCTTTATAATCTAATGTTAGCAGTTTCTTGTTCGTTATATAATTGAACGACAAAACCTATGAAAGGGACTTTTTTTGGCCATAGCTATGTAATTGACTGGAATATCCAAAACTTTGGGAGAAAAAGCAGTGTAAATGTAGAGATAGTATCTTTTAAGATTGGTTTAATAAGGTCTCTGATTTCTTAATTATTTCATTTAGG